AACAGTTTGATCGTAACGAATTTGTGAAGAACAGCGGGTAATTTTGTTCGCGCAATTCAATGCAAGTGGCGTTTTGAAAAATTCTCAAAATTCAGCTTCAAGCTCCAAGAAAACCAAACTGTCCCGAATCATAGACTAAGGTTTTCGCAATTTGCCGTCCGAAAAACGCGTTTTAGTCTAAACCTGCTGGATCGTAGTAAATTTTTGAACCATGGCGGGTAAATTGATTGGAAAAAGTCATCGCAAGCCTCATTTTGAATAATTTTTAAAAATCACCTCAAAGCTCCAAGCACGCGAAGGTTCCAAAACACATAGACCTGAAGCATTGTCTATTTGCTGCTGTAAAAACCGTTCTTCAGCCTTCACTAGTTTGTGTATAATGAATTTTTGAATCACGGCAGGTTATTTTGCCGCAAAAATCTTCATTTTGACTATATTTATAAATGCAGCACAAACTGTCAAGAAAGCGGAACTGAGAGAAATTATAGAGCGAGAATTTCTCTATTTACTAGTGCAAAAAGCGCGTTTCAATCGAGAGCAGTTTAGCCGCAATGGATTTTTGGACACCGGCAGGTAAATTGATTCTCGAAATTCGTTGCCAGTCGCCCTTTGAGAAATTCTCAAAAATTAGCCCAAACCTCCAAGAAAGCAAAATTCTGCATATTCCTAGACTGAGGTTTCTTCTCTGTAGTTGCGCAAAAATCGCGTTTTGATCTCCACTGGTTTGCTGGTGATGATTTTTTTACATAGCGGTGAAATTTTTTTGTCAAAATGCGAAGGAGGTCGCTCTTTGAGAAATTCTGAAAATTCAGCTCACACCTGCAGGGAAGCAAAACTCTTCGCAATTATACAGGGCAGCTAGTTTGATATATTTCAGCAAAAAACGCGTTTTAATCTGGGCGGGTTCAGTCGCAACGATTTTTTGAAGCTGGGACGTCAGCTATATTTTTTCGATTTATTGCTAGTCGCTGTTAGAAAAATTCTAAAAATTCAGCTCAAACGTTCAAAGAAGTAAAACTCTGCCGGCTTATAAAGTAAGGCTTAATTGATTTAGTTTCGTAAAAAACGAGTTCTGGCCGGGACTGGTTTGGTTGTAATAAATTGTTGAATAACGGCCGGTGCAAGTAGCCAGTTAAAAAATTCTCAAAATTCAGCCCAATGCTGGAAGAACCGGAAACTTTGTGAAGTCACAGTCAGAGGTTTGCTCGTTCTAACGCTCTCAGCAATATATTTCGCTCAAGGCTGGTTTTGTAGGAAACAATTTTTGAACCAAGGCGCGTAAATTTATTCTAGAACTTTGCAGGTCTCGTTTTGAATAATTCTGGAAATTCATCCGAAAGCTCCAAGGAAACCAATTTTTGCAGAATCATAGGGCGAAGCTTGCTCTATTTTCGGCTGCAAACCGCGATTTTCCATCTTCACCGGTTTGGTCGCAATTGAATTTTTAGCAAGAGCGGGTAAATATACTCTTGTAATTGAAATGGAAATAAGCGCGCCTAAACGACTGCCCAGTGCGTTGGATTTTTTAGAAAACTTTGTCTCATTTTGTACTAGTTTAGAAAGCAAAATATGTATTACAATGAGCTTTTAACATATAAGCGAAACACGATGCATTTAGTGATTAAATGTAATTGCAAACGCTAAACACATCAACATCATTAGGCCGGCCGTTGAAAGCAATAACACGAAGAGCACCTGAAAACAAATACACTGTTTAAAGCCTGTATGTACACCGAATATTGCGATCAGCATACTTTGTCCTGCCACTGTTTATTCTTCAGGCACTCTCGGTACTTCATATGAGTGAAACTGACCGATATGTACAGGGGAATCCAAATGTGCGGCATCAGTTTGGACAAGTATTTATCCAAGTGTTTCCTCAACTTGAATGAACGTTTGGTGACCAAATCTCTCATTTCCTTGTAGTTGTACATGGCAAGATCGCAAATTGCATGTGCGTCTGGAAGCCTCATTTCCGAAAATAGCCGCGCGGTTTCAGCTAGATTGCCCTTAGTGTGATTGAGGAGTTCGTCGAGTAGAGTGCAATCCTCAAAGCCAGCGTTCATCCCTGAAATTTTACACAAATTGGACCTGCCAAAGCGATAGCATTACAATTAATGAGAAAGGAAACTGAAATGTTTTGCAGCGAGGCTCTTTGCGTTTTTTAAATGCGATGTTTTTGCCGAAATCTGGGCGTTTTGCTCGAGATGGAGCTGAACAACTTGACGATTTGCGTTCTTTGCACGCAAATTGATCTACGCCTTTTCAAGCAGATTGGGGCCAATTTACACATGCGGAAATCGGTTCTTTACCAACTAGTCAAAAAGCACAAATATGTTCCCAACTAAGTTATTTCAGTTCAGGAATTTTTTGAGGATGATTTCCAAACGCTTCAAACGCAAAAAAATCCGCTTTCCAAATCCTGCAGAGCCAGTTGTTGTTCCTGTTACACAATAAAGAATTAAATTTAATTGAATAAAACGAATTATAAGTTTCTCGTTTGTCTTGTCTCTGCACAAGGAATATTTTCCGCACAAAGTCAGTACTGCTCCACTTTCGAAGAAATCAACAACCTTCGTTGCCTAGAAACCGTCCCTGGGTCTATTTCCGGATGCGCATAAACCTGATCGACCAATCGCTTGTCGACCCTTTCAATACAAGACATGTACCATGGCAACGAGTAAATACAAACACATCAACTTTGAAATCAGCTGTCAGTAAAGCAGTAATTATTGCAATTGAAGTTGTAAATGAGCCGGTTTTTACACGCTCGTTTTGGAAAAAGTGTCTTATTTGTTGAAATTGTCTCTCGAAGGATTGAAGGACCCGAAAATGTGACTTTAAACTAGAAAATTAGCGATTGTAAAGGAAATGTTGACGATTTTTTCGACTTAAATCGTTGGCAGGATATTAAGGGTGGGAAGTTTTCAAATTGAGACCCGGTATATTGGAAAACAAGAGCATTCTACAGGGTGACCAAGGTAAGAGTGCATTACATCTGAATCTTCTAGCATGTTTTTTAATCGGTTAAAAAATCGAACACCACCCTTGGAAAAATTTCGGCGAAAAATTAAAATTTCACATGCGTATTTTTTAAGCTCAAACGGTTCCTTTCGACGTAAGAAGCTCAGAAATATGCATTTATAAAGTGTTTGGATCAAAAATGAAGAAGAAATCGTCGGCTAAAGATCGATATCGCTCACAAAATGCTTAAAATGTGCCGAAAGTGCTTTTTAATGATCTCGATGCATTGCTTGCGTCCGTGAGCTGAAAATGA